GATAATGAAGTTATTGTACAACAATATTAAAGTATGAAAACTCGATAGGAACAAGTGTAATTTATAAACTATGTTATTTTGAGTATTGTCATAATATTGTTTTATATTTTTATTATCATTACATCCATGACAAAAACTCGACGTTCATTATCAGGTAAATTGTGCCCACCCCGATAAAAAATCCTAACTCCGACCCTGCATAAATCATAACCCACAACCTGACCAACTATATAAATTTACCAGCCAATATTACAGGCCCAAAAACACTGTAGCATGACACTTTTACCAGAGTTACACATAGATTAGGATCTCATGAAAGATCAAAGGATTAGATGAAGGTAGAAGAAAAACGAAGAACTAGAGAGAGATTATTTGAAACTCGAGAGGCTAAAGAATGAAAATTGAAGTGAGTCAAAACGTCCCTATAATTAATCCCAGCCATTGGTCAAGACGAATGGTCCAGATTTCAATTCAACTAGTACAATCCATGTCAAGGCAAGGCAAGGCAGCCACATGGCCATCCCCATCCAACTAGGCAGCCCAATAGAAAGACCAATATATCCTTACGCAGGTATGAATTGAGAAACACGTTTTACGATTAATAGTAAATCGTACAAGCCTAAAAGAATATAAACAAATCCTGTCTATTAAATTGATGTTCGAATATTTCCTGAGTACAAGGAATATATACAGAATATTTACAGGATGTTGATGCTGCAGCATTCTCTGCATTTGTGTGTGTGTATTTTTTTCAATTTTGAATCTTTATTGTTGATTTCAAATTTCTGTACTTGTAGACTAACTCATTGATGTTTTGGAAGGTAGAGCGTCAAAAAACATAGCATGTGAAATGAATTTCAACTCAAAAGGGAAGAAACATGAAATTCGGCTGTACAAAATATAGCCATTTGGATGCCTCCACTTTTAATCTCATATTGTGTTAGCCACGAAATTCACGAGAACTAGCTCGTTGAGTGCAAGAACAAAAAGCCATGCTAATCAACGTTTTGTGTATAAGCAGACGTTATTTTCTCCTCCTTGAAGCTCAAGCTTTTCCCAATTCAGTTTGGAACTTATCTGCAAAAACTTTAGCATGGGAAGATGAAAACTACTCTATATGGCAGTTACGGAAGCCACAACTACAGCATAATAACAAAAAGAACCCATCTGATGCAAAATTTCAACAATTGATATCAAAATCAATCCTTTTTTTGTTGGCAGTGTAAAGTGGTTATAATATATTGCTATTACAAAATATTTTATCTAGCAATATCTATGCAAACAGATCATCACATTGCAACAAAAATATTTTATCCTAGATTGTTTTGATACTTATATGACAATGACTTATTTCATAATGAATTCTTGAAAATTCAGTTATATGCTTTGTTGAATTTATTGGTCTTACCAACAATTGATCGATGGAATGTCTTTGTCACGTACCGCCACGTTCAATGGCCGGTCTTCGAAAATTGTTGCTCATCATTATGCCTTCCACTAATTCATCCAACGTTTGCATTTCACATTATTGGACACACAGATCTTACTCTCTCTCTCTCTCTACCTTTATTCTAAAAATCTTGTTGAGTTAGGCATTGGAATATGTGTAATGATCGACTCTCTAGCTCGATCACTATGCAAAATTAACCAAGATTCTCATTTTTTATTACTTTGAAGATCCCTCAAAGTTGGTACAAGACTAATCTTAGCTTTACTATCAGCGTATAGTATTGATATTTAATTGAAGTTCAATTTTGTAAGTAGAAACTGAAGATAGAGAAACTCTAAGGAACAAGCGATCGAATTCTTAATATGAAAAATCAAGATTTGTGTGTTCCAAGGAGACTTGGATTAATTAGGGTCACAATTGATGGATGAAAGATGAGGGAGATATTTTGAGATTCATAAGAAGCATTCCACCCCTAAAAATTGTGGATGTCATAAAATGTACGAGTTTTAAAAAAAAATTAAGTTGTAAAAACTGGTGTAAAGATGATTTAAATTCCATCATTTACATATTTAAATATACAGAGTTAAAATTTGTCATTTCTCTATTAGCCTTGAAATTAGAGACGGCAATGGGGCGGGTTCGAGGCGGGGCACCCTCGCTCCACCCCACCCCGCCACTCCCCCATCCAGTCCCATCCCCGTCTAAGGTGGGGCGGGTTCGAGGCACGGGCTTGCCCCCGTTTCCTGTCCCATTTATTTTTTTTTATTTTCAAAAACTTCCAATTAACTATTTTTTTATTTTTAATTTGTAGTTAATTATTTTTTTATTTTTCACGGGACGGATTCAGGGCGGGTCACCCCCATTTGGGTTGGGTTTTTCCCCCATTCGGGTCGGGTCGAGCTTTTTTGCCATCATTACTTGAAATTCATTACTCGCCGTTGGCCAAGGGGAGCGGACACAATTGACAATACTTTACAAAAATAAAAATTAGTGGGCCAAGTCTAAACCTAAAAAACGGCCAATAAAACAAGAGAAGTGTCGGCAAGAAAAAGCCGAAAAAGAACATTTTAGACGTGTCACGAATCGGGCCAATCGATCACATCTCACCTGTCCTTTGCTTTTATCTTATGCAATCAATGCTTTAGCTTAGCTGTCTCCATCATTCACCTTAAAGAGACTCTAATATTATTGCATTATCATCCCTACCTTAACTAACAAAAATATTCTTCATCCTATTAATGGAAAAATGTTTTGTTCAATAAATTTCCATTTATTGTCGAACTCACATTTTAATGCGACAAGGAAATATGTTCAATAGCATAGTTAAAATCAAGATTCAGTCGAATTCGATAAACTATTCAATATTAAGATTAGATACATACTGAAAAATACACGCATGCACCGCATGTATATAAATATAAAGAAAAGCCATTTTTAGATTTGGCTAACTTCTTCATCTTTTACACCAAAAACTTAGAACTACATCCCCAAGAAAAGAATATAGTTTTCTCTTTACCTTGCCAACACACCCCCACCCCAACCCATCCTTGAATTAAAAAAAAAAGAAAAGAAAAGAAAAAATCAACCTGATTACTTGCCGTGATTGTAGCCATAATATGAGAGATACCATTTTACAAACTTCTTTAACCCGGTTTGCAAATCGGTTGTGGGTCTGTACCCGAGTTCCCTTCGGGCCAAGCTTATATTTGCATGGGTGAACGGAACGTCACCGTTTCCGGGCATTGTAATGGCATTCTTCTTTGCTTTTACCTGCAAAAGCCTTTCAAGAATTCCGACCATCATCGGAACTGTCACTGGCGACGTATTACCCAGATTATATATCCGGTATTGTGCGGGTCCCATTTTCTTCCCACCCGACCCGGAACTCTTTTTCGCTGTATCCAACGACGCCACGCAGCCTCTCACAATGTCATCAATGTAGGTGAAATCCCGAGCCAATTCGACCCGATTCTTGCCCCGGTAAATTGTTATTGGCTTTCCCTGTAGAATATTCCGGGTGAAGGAGAAATACGCCATGTCGGGTCTTCCCCATGGGCCGTAAACAGTGAAAAACCGCAACCCGGTAATTGACAACCCGTAAATATGATTGTACGTGTGGGTTATTTCTTCGCCGGCTTTCTTGGTTGCGGCGTACAGTGAAGCTGGCTGGTCGGTTCGATCCGATTCTGAAAACGGGGCCTTTTCGTTCAACCCGTAAACCGAACTGGAGCTGGCCCACACAATTGCAGGCTGTGGATCCGCGTTTTTGCATGCTTCGAGAAGAGTGACCAATCCTGCAATATTACTGTGCACGTACGAATGCGGATTTTCTATGGCGTATCGTACCCCTGCCTGCGCAGCCAGGTGCATCACGTGGGTGAAGGGCACAATTTCGAATAGTCTTGATATCATGCGTGCATCATTCACATCACCCTCCACGATGAATATATTTTGGGAATTTAGCAATTTTTTTCTGGCTTGCTTTAATGCAGGGTCGTAATAATTGTTGAAATTGTCAAGCCCAACAACGCCGTCGCCGCGCTTTTTAAGGGAGAGAGACACGTGGGAACCGACGAAACCGGCGGCGCCGGTAACAAGCACGGAGAACCCATTCCGCCGGTGGATCTGAGCGGAGGCTTTGACCTGTTTTTCCCAGTGGGCGCCGCCCCACGCGGCAGAGAAGTACTTGTTACCGGAATCCACGAACGACTGGAAACTCAAATACGACGCCGTCAACGCCACCAAGAAAAGAGCCCACAAGAACATCGTACTCATCGAAGCGAAACACCGGTAGAATTGTCTGTGCATTGAATGTGATTTATCCTTAAACTTCCCCGGCGTTGAGGGCAGCAGCAATTCCTCATTAACAGAAGGCATTTTTTTCAACAAAAAATTGAATTATCAAATATGGAAAATCGTGAAAATAAGAAATTTAAGTGCGTATATACGGAGGATGATGGAGGGAAATGAATGTGTTTTCTTTGAGAAAAATAACAGGTGCTGGAGAAAATAGGGTGCACCTGCTATGGGAGAATGGAAGAAAATAGAGGATATATATAGTGGGAAACCACAAAATAATACGCGTTAAAGGACAGCAAGAGAGAGGGAAAGAAGGGATGGAGGACGATATTCATATATAATACTTTCTTCTGGAGAAATGTTGTCTTTTGTAAAATATCAATTAATTTAAATNTAAAGGACAGCAAGAGAGAGGGGAAAAAGGGGTGGAGGACGATATTCATATTTTTTACTTTCTTCTGGAGAAATGTTGTCTTATGTAAAATTTGAATTAGTTTAATTTGAAAATGACAACTAACATTTAAGAGATTGGGATGATGTTGTTAACGAAGTTAACTTTCTAAAAATAGGATTTCAAGATTTGGTATGACTAAAAATGAATATTGTTAAAATAAAATCGAAAGGTTATTTTGATAAACTATATTGAGAATCTAGCTATATCTAGAAAAATTTAAAATTCAAAACAGTTGTAAATAGCGAGTCGGTTCTAACTAACACCGTAAATTATTTGGTTAGATTTTAGAAGTTTATCTTTTGCTACTAGTTTGATCTTTAAAACATTACAAAAAGTTTCAAAATTTTTGTTTTTGCGCATGTCACAATCGGGTGAAGTCCAACATCACTTAAATACAAGAAGAATAATCGGCATATAAGAATTTTCTTTTGACAAGGTAGATCTCTTCAAATCGAAAGGGTGTCGTTAAGAAACAGAGTAGTTTTGAATTTTTATTTTTTTTTTGTTTAAAAAAGCTTTGTTTTTAAGAGTAGGATATTGGGATTGTTTATCAATTTTGTTTTAAGGTTTAAACATTAATGTCAATATAATTGTGTCACCAGGTATTAAATTGAGGAAATGATGGATCTTGACAATATTATAAGTTGGATATTGAAGGGTAAGTGACATTTGGAAACTATGGAGTGTAAACCAAGTTTAAGTATTGCCAATATAAAATCATAACGTAATGTAGTTTATTAAACAAGTTTTGTCTATTTGTTACTTATTTATGTTTTCTGCAGATACTCAAGTGACACAAGTCACAGATGATGATGTTTGTGAATAAAAATGTTGTATATCTCTTATTTGAGGGTGTTTGAGCCACATTATTTTGGAAGAATGTATTTTGAAATAGTAGATTAATAGAAAATGTGTGATCGAAAAAAAAGGAAATGCTATTGATGTGATGGAAAATAGTATTCAATTGAAGAACGCATGGTTGAAAATAAGTATAAGAATGAAAATGAAAATTTTAATGTGACTCAAACAAAGACTGATTATTACAACTTATTTGCATAGTTGATAAGATTAATGTCACTTTCATGATTTAAGCGAATTCCATCAGCTTTAAAAAATAAGAGTTTATTGCCTTTTTTTCGTTGTTGCTTTGTAGGCTAGGGTATTTATTATTAATTTTGATTTAAGGTTCATCAATATGTCTTGAAAGAAAATAATCTTGCATGCGCCCCAAATAACGAGTAATTATAGATTATATGGTGTTGAATTAATTATGAAAGAATGTTTCAATCTAAGAGTGTAGATGGCTTTCCTACTTACTATACAAAGGAACATATTACATTCAAATTTCAATTTTCATTGAAACCTGTAACCTGTTTGAGCCCCATTTTTTCGAGAATATTTTTTTTAAAAAATTCATTTTCAACCACACATTCTCTCATAAAATAATTATACATGTATTTTTTAAATAAAAAAATCCTTATTTTTAACCACATGTTCTCCAAAAAATCACTATTTCATTATATATTTTACCCAGAAAATGAGGATTGGGGGCTATATATAGGAATTATTGTTATAATGAAATACATACTTCAGTTTTGGCTAAAAAGAAAAAATAATAAACATTGAAATCATTCATTATTTTTTGTTTTGACGCTTAAAATTCTCTTTCTCGATGACTAACAACCAGCGAACCTAACTCAAAATTCTAATTTAAATTGATACATTCGCAAACAAAAAATTGAGTTATCTTTTCTTGTAGTTTGTTAAAACATGTGAATTTGTTATTGTTTATTATAATCTCATTGGATAATTGGAACAAAACGTCCCTACCTTTGAAGGGTTGTTTGAAAAACGTCCATACCTTTCATTTTTTGGTGCAAAATGTCCCTACATTTCACATTCTTTGTACTAAACATCCTTTAGTACTTGATGCATATTTAAAAAAAATTTTAAAAAATTGCAATATGCTCCAAATTTTTTTTAAAAATGCAAAATTTTTTTAAAAACGTCCATACCTTTCATTTTTTCGTTATTTTTTGGAGGACTAGATTTTTTGTTGGTAGGGTGGTGGTTGTGGTGTAGTAATGTGGGGATAGATGGTGTATTTTAGCAGGCGACAGTGGCGCGATGGTTGACTGGAGGTGGTGGTTGTTGGAGCAAGATGCATCGACGATGTATGTGGTGGTGGAGCTGTTGGCGATGATGGTAAGGTGGTGGTGGATGGTGGATCTGGTTGTGATTTTTTGTGTGGTGGTGCAAGTTTAGGTGTTGACGGTGGTGGTGTGGTGTTGGCGACGATAGCAGGCATGTGACCAATTATTTGGTGGTTATTTTTGTGCCGTAGTCGATTATGTTGGATCTGGTGGCGACTGTGATTTTGTTGGTGGGGGCGGCGAAAGATCTTGTTGTTGGCGTTGGTGGTTTTGAAGTTGAAAGTGATAGTTTGTTGAAGGTGGTGACAGTGCTGCCGAGAGGTTGTGTTGTTGGTTTGTTTGAGATGGTGATGTTGCTATTAGGCGGCGATGGTGGTGGTGGTGCTGATGGTGGTCACAGATTATTTGGTTAATTGTGACCATTAAATTGGTTAACCTATGACCCATAAACAATATGTGACCAATAAAAAATATAAATTGTGGCATAAAAAATGTTAATTTGTGACTGTAATTTGATAATTTGTGACACTATAATAATTTGTAACTTATAATATTTGTGATTTATGACCGATAAATAAATTGTGACCTACAAATTTTTTGAACTGTGATCGTAAAATAATTTGACACTTATAGAAATTTTGATTTGTAATCGAAAAATAACATGTAACTAATTAAATGGTTAATTT